TCCCAAACTTGGGTCTCCAGCTGTTTTTGAACTACAATCCCCATCATCCCTGACCACTGGTCCTGCTAGCTAGGGATGATGGGAGTTGTAGTCCAACAACAGCTGGGGACCCAAGTTTGCGAAACACTCTTCTAACTCCTAAACTTATTCTCTGATACCTCTTTGAATTCTCCCAGTCTTAACAAACAGTGGAAATAACAGAAAGGTATCCTGTTTCTTTCACAGAGACCTTACTGTGTGTGTCTGCTATAGGAGAGATATAGTAGTCATGGGAGATTTCGGCTACATTGATATCTGTGGAACTCACTCTGTCAAGAGTGCAAGTGAAGGAATAGGTTTCTGTGCAGTCAGTTTGAAACGGGACACCCCCCTTTTCTTCTTTCTCCAAGAGAGCATTTCTAAAATGCATTAACTTGAGCTGTTGAGCAAATGCATAACAAGAACACAGCTGTATAAACAAAGCTCTCTCCTTTATTAGTCATGGCAATGGATGACCTTGGCTGTTCCAGTGGAGTAGGGATGACATGTCTGGGTCTTATCTTACCACACTCTGACACACAGACCTAGCCCGGGAATAGCGCCAGAGTGTGTTCTTGGAGTTGGTGACCTCTTGCTCCAAGATAAGAGTATGGGAACAGGAATACCCTTTTATGGTCAGAAGTACAGGAAGGAAAACCCTTTTATGGTTAAGAGTACCGGAGCAGGAACATCTGTGATGTCAACCTGCGTGTACAAGCTGACGTGGCTGGATTCCTGGGGAAGGGGGGAGAGGGTGCCTGGAGGATATATATACTGCATGAAATTTCTCATTTCTTTGGACTTGCTGTGGACTGACCACACAAGTGCCTTTCTGCTGCTCCAGAGAGCAGAAATAAAGAACTCTTTCGCTGAACCAACCCTCGGTGTCATTTGACTTCCTTCCTCCCGTCTGGGAGCAACGCAGAGCCCACCAATCGGTAAAGTCTAATAAGGCTACATAAGGTCCAACAAATTCCTCATTTGCCTTGCTGACAATGGTTGGCAGGGGAGAGTCACAGTGGTGGGGTGATAATGAGCAAATCCCAATTTGAGGCACAATGACCCGAGGTCTAAGCATTGGAGGGGTCCCTGTTCACCTCTTATGGAGGGTGAGGCACTTCAGTCTTCATATCCCAAACTACCAGAATTCAGCCAACTTCCACCACCAATTAGGAATCCATTCAAGCAGGAGTTTATCAATTCACACAGCCACAAAAATCCAAAGTCACAAAACTCTCACCCAAATTTCTCCCTGAATTTTGGAGGCTCGAGTTGCTTCGTCTTTTTCTCAAAGTGGAATGGATAGATTCTAGAGGATGGTGGGACCTTTATACCTTCAACAGCTGTTCAGATGAGGGGCTTTCAGGACATGGGTTCCCCTTATCCTCTGATTTCTCAGCATCACCATCTAAAGAATAACTTACTGATTGCAGACTGGACTTCATTTGCTCTCTCAGCCCATATAAGCAATTCACTTGCTAACTTCCCAGCTTCATCAAGTATTTCAGTATCTGAAAGGTTTGGATAATTCAGGTCAGTGAGATATCAAACAGCTGTTCAACTCTATAAAAAGGCTGTTTCCCTATAACTTGTGACTGGCCACATTCTAGCATTCAGGGTGGTCTGTAATCTGCTGAGTATTGATCTGACCCCCCCCCCCAATAATGCTTTGTATTTTTAAGAAAAATCTCAAGCGGTTTACAGCATATTAAATTAATTAAAACATAAATAAAACAATCTGAAGAAAGTCAAATATAGAGTATACAGTCAAAGCAACATAGCAGAAAACTAAAATATTATCTTAAAGATTTCAAAATAAAACATTACAAAGGAGGTCAACTACAGACTACATATTTAACATAGTAGGGCTGGTGAGTGTGGGCCCAGCCCCCTAGGCCAGGTGGAAAGGGTCTTGCAGGGAGTGGCCTTCATGCCCCACAGCCGGGCAATGTTCCTCCGGCCTCTTCAGTGGGGCTGGTGAGTCTGGCCAGGTGGAAAGCAAAGAAGCTCTTCTATGGGGCAAAACCCTCTGCTGGAGCAGGGGCAAGGAGTGGCCCTAAGTGTATGGACTACGACACCTTCCTTACCATTCCTTCCTTGGAGGGATGGTTTCTCTTTGATCATGAAGTCCCTGATCATTTTCATTGCTAAATCTATTTCAGGTGTTTTGTGATCCCGTTTATGAATATCTATGGAAGAGTTAGAAGGGAAAGAAATGGTGAGTCAGCTGATGCGACAGTACCTCCACCCCAGAATTGCTGCGGCTGATTTGGAATCAAGGCTCCCCGTGTGTTAGCAATTTTTTAAGGCTATTCCCATCTCAAAGCAAAAGTGTTTAATGAAGCATCAGGCAGCAGATTGGGCAGCATTCCAGTAATAAAACTGCATTAAAATGAAACCTGTAGATCACCCTGTGAAGGGTGGTCTATAAATTGAATAAAATCAATGTGGATAAATAAAGGCCAGGTTACAACATCTCGTAACAACATTAAATAAATGAGATAAAGTAAAAGCTCAGAGTTAGGGCCATATCCAGTGCTGCAGTGCCACTGGTGAAATGGACTTCTGTATGGACAAGGAAGCTTTCTCTCCTGTCCCCTCCAGCCCAGCCCACCACGTGCTCTCAAAATTCCCACTGGAAGCAGAAAACCAAATATTCCCCACCAATACCCAGAAAACGCCTAATATTCCCACCAGTATATCTGGAAAACAAACAGATATTAACCAGGTGCCAAAATGGCAAGTGTTGATGCATTATATAATTCCAGAGCTAGGAGATTTCACAATCAGGGTGCTACCACACAGAAGGCTCTTTTCTGTCATGCCACCTAATGGACAGTGGGACAATGAGACAATCCACTCCTATGTCCAAGATCTAGGGACCAGAGCAGGTTGTACAAGACAATGTGTCCTTCAGACCCTTGGGATCCAAGTCAGTGAAGACTTCCTAGGTCAATAGGTAAAGGTAAAGGTACCCCTGCCCGTACGGGCCAGTCTTGCCAGACTCTAGGGTTGTGCGCCCATCTCTCTCAAGAGGCCGGGGGCCAGCGCTGTCCGGAGACACTTCCGGGTCACGTGGCCAGCGTGACATCGCTGCTCTGGCGAGCCAGAGCCGCACACGGAAACGCCGTTTACCTTCCCGCTTGTAAGCGGTTCCTATTTATCTACTTGCACCTGGGGGTGCTTTCGAACTGCTAGGTTGGCAGGCGCTGGGACCGAACGACGGGAGTGCACCCCGCCGCGGGGATTCGAACCGCCGACCTTTCGATCGGCAAGCCCTAGGCGCTGAGGCTTTTACCCACAGCGCCACCTGCGTCCCACCCTAGGTCAATACCAGAACCTTAAATTCATCCCACAAATGAATAAGTAACACATGAAGGGCTTAGACTTTTAAAAGGAGACACACACAAACATCTGATTGCGCTCAGAAATCAATATGATTTCCTTGTCCTTTGACAACTTTCTTCTACTCATCTAGGGCTAGGGAGAAGGAGGGAGGATGGCTTCCTAGATGACTTGAAGACCTCTTTTGTTTACCTGTGAGATATCCTGCAGAACCTGTGACAGTCTCTTTAAGAGAAGCAAGCTCTTACCCAGCATGCAAAGATAAGAAGAAAGATGAACAGGGAGTTGCAAGTAGGACAAGTGACTGCACAGGTTGCTTCATAATGTTGGCCTAAAAAGTCTCTGGAGCAGCTAAGCAGTTATTGAGGGGCAAGAAAAAGGCATTTATTTGAATGGGTGACATTTAGCCACATTCTTACCTTACGCACTGGAATCAATGGGAGATAAAAGGGCTTAACTGTGGTTGGATTATGGTGACACTTTTGAAAGTGTTCTTCATACTGATGTAAAGCCAACCAGGATAACTCTAAAGGCTACACAGCCTAGACTTACACAGACTAACTGCTCCAAATGCAGCAAAAAACAGGACCAGGCACAGCATCACTACAATAAATGTACCAATGGAAGAGAGAAAGAACTCTTTTATCTCATGCAAAACAGCAGCGAGTTTTCCTTGATGGACAAAAAGAAAGAAAATCTGCTTAAGTACCATGGCTAACTTTTTTGCCTTTTCATTTCAAGTGACAGTAATAGATCCAGAAGTACTCCTTCAGAGGGAGTCTAACCCCATCCAGAACAGGCCATATCCCACCCATCTTGTCTAGGGAACCACCCACTGACTGCACCTCAGTCTTGTCTGGATTAAACTTCCGTTTATTGGCTCTCATCCAGTCCATTACTGAGGCCAGGCATTGGTCTAGTACGTCAACTGCCATACCTGCAAATGTAAAGGGGAGATAGAGCTGTGTGTCATCAGCATTTCTCACAACACACTCCAAAATCTGGATGACCATACTCTGCATGGGGGATGAAACTGAACTTTGAGGAACCCTGTGCTGAAGGCTCCATGGTGCTGAACAGAACTCCCCAAGCACAGTCACCCAAGTAGGACTAGAACCATTGCATAGCAGCGTCGCCCAATCCCAGCTCAGTCAGTCCCTCTGGAAGAATACCATAGTTGATGGTAGTGAAAAGCAGTGCGAGATCAATGAGGATCAACAGAGCACATTTCTCCTGCCTCTCTCCCAGCAGAGCGAAGGCTGTCCTGTTGTGAAATAGCTTTAATAAACGAGGTCCCTACAGGATGCTTGCTTTGATATTGTCTTTGTTGCATGTTTATTTAAAGGTTTGTTCCCTCACCTGGGCGAGGAGCAGTGGTAGAGAGGTAAATCCTTAGCACATTGTGGATCAGGGGAGAACACAGCCTGAGGCTGGCATAGAACTAGTTTGCTTGGCTAAAGGAGCCTGTTGGAGTGACAGAGCACGGCTGGCTTTTCTCCAGCCCTTCCCACTACGACTGGCCACACATGCCTCCTGTTGCTCTCTCACCTTTCTTTTCCCGTGTGTTCCTCGTCTAGGCTATGAACCAGTTCTATGTGTGCTGCATACATACCCTTTCTAGGAGGTGGTTTTCGTCTGCGTTTTAGTATTGACCTGGATGCCACATTAGATCTGGAAGAGACATTGGATCTGGAAGCCACATTAGATCTGGAAGCCACATTGGATCTGGAAGCCACATTGGATCTGGAAGCGGCATTGGATCTGGAAGCCACACTGGTTCTTGAAGCTGCATTGTGGTGTTGGGTCACATAGTATATAATTTACTAGAACATTAGCTAAAACTTGCTACAATGGGACAAAATATCCATTGTGTGCTCGCAGCTAAATCCCAGTAGGGTAAATTCCTGAAAAACTTGTAGCTCAGGAGCAAAATCGTAGGGAGTGATGATCCTGCAGGAATTCAGTTTTCAGCTCTACTCTGCAAGACAAATCTCATTTCTGTTTTTTTAATGGAGTAACAAGCTTGGTGGAACAGGGGAATGATGTGAACATAGTGTATCTTTATTTCAGTAAGGCTTTTTGACAAAGTTCCCCATTATATTCTTGTGAGGAAACTGGTAAAGTGTGGGTTGAATGAGGTAACTGTTAGGTGGATTTGTAGCTGGTTGACTGACCGAACCCAAAGAGTACTCACTAATGGTTCCCTGATTCAGGTAGGAAGCCATGTTGTTCTGACACAGTAAAATTTAAAAATAGCCCAGTAGCACCTTAGAGACCAACTAAGTTTGTTCTGGCTATAAGCTTTCGTGTGCATGCACACATCTTCAGATACACTGAAGGAGAAGTCACCAGACCCTTATATATAGTGGGAGGGTGGCCTGGGTTTTTCTCAGAAGGGTATTGGGAGATGGGTGATTACTCAATGGGTATGGTAAACCTGTTGACAACTGTTAACGACTGCAATTAGTTCTACAGGAAAAAGCAAGGGATAGTTCAACAACTTTATAAACAACTTGGCTGAAGGAATTGAGGAGATGCTCATCAAATTGGCAGATGACACCAGGTTCCATTTTTCTGCCACTTGAGATATCATCCCCAAACTCTGCAGAAAGGAAGGCTCAGGGTCTCCCTTCTAAGAGGTACAGAAACTCTGCCTTCCTGTATTGCACTGAAGAGTAAAAAGTAGGAACAACTTACGTTCCGTGAATGTCAGGCCTCGCACCATTTTATCTGCTCATTTGGATTGGCATCTTATGTCATCCTGCATTCAGAAGCATATAAAGGAGTAGACAGTTAGCACAACTTCTATGAGAGAATTTAGTGCTCAAAAACCAAATCAGAGTAGCAGTCTGCAGAAGCTCACCTCTTTTTGTTGACAGGACCTTATTCTTAGCTGCCATCTTATCTCCTCATTTTGAGTGGTGTCTCATCCTGGAGTTCTTCTAAGTGACCATTTAATGGATTAGGCTGTTAAAATGATATCTTAAGACAAACCTACCGTTTACAGAGCAGTCATATCAAGCTCTTCATTATACAAGGGAGTAGACATGAAAAGCTCTCTGGCATCCTGTCCCCACTTCATTTATAGACATGGAATCTCCTATTCCCTGAAAATACAGTGGGAGAGAAGCAGACTGCTTTTCTCCCACTGTAATAGGGCAGTTGGGGCCTTCTGAATTCTAGCTTAGTGACATACGTCATGCAAACGGATCCTGTTCAATCCACAGCATTTCCCATCAGAAGGATCTCCAGGAGGAAGCCTTAGAAAGACCTCTCATGGGCTAAACAGCACATGGGCAAGACAACCAATGGCCTTAGAAAAAGGCAGCTGACTACGAATGACTTATCCCCCTTCCCCTTTTGGATACCGTGGTGGCTCCTGGAGTCCTTTATCTTCTCTCCGCCTTAGCTTCTTCCTGCAGATGTTCCTTCCTTCAACGGCTCCAACCACCTTCCGCTTTGATGCAGAACATTCCAGAGTTCCCATTCAGCTTCTGCTCTTCCCTGATTGGGACTGGCAGCCAGCCAATCAGCATTCCACATATAGCAGAAGTCCAGGATAATATCTAGTTTAGTTATTGCTTACTCCACTTCCCTAGTACTCTCATGCACAAAAGTGACCTTCACGAGTATCTTTGGAACGCTGCAAAGGCCTGGCATGTTCTGTCCCCTTTAAGCCCAGGGCTAAATGACTTCTGGGGAACTTCTTCAATTAAGTGGATGAGCACCCCACTCCTCAAATTGTTGGATTTTTCTGAGACTAAATTTGTAACATGGACTGTTATCTCGCAGTTATTCAAGTCCAGCAGAGTTCCACACAGAATAATAATAATTTATTATTTGTACCCTGCCCATCTGGCTGAGTTTCCCCAGCCACTCTGGGCAGCTTCCAATGGAGTGTTAAAAACAATACAGCATTAAATATTAAAAACTTCCCTAAACAGGGTTGCCTTCAGATGTCTTTTAAAGAGAAGATAGCTGCTTATTTCCTTCACATCTGAAGGGAGGGCGTTCCACAGGGTGGGCAGCACTACTGAGACCATGTCAACTACAGGCAAGCAATTGAAATTTAAAAGCATAATTTAATTCTGAATATTTTTTAGCCTTCTACAGTGGTACCTCGGGTTACAGACACTTCAGGTTACAGACTCCGCTAACCCAGAAATAGTACCTTGGGTTAAGAACTTTGCTTCAGGATGAGAACATAAATCGTGCGGTGGCGGCACTGGCAGCGGGAGGCCCCATTAGCTAAAGTGGTACTTCAGGTTAAGAACAGTTTCAGGTTAAGAACAGACCTCCAGAACGAATTAAGTTCTTAACCTGAGGTACCACTGTATTTGGAAAGCTGAGGTACAAAATACAATGGATCCAAAATACAAAAGTTATATATTATTTGCATAGCACATTTCTGCTAGCAGCAGGTCATCTTCCACCCACTGGGCATGTGGTCTTTTTGTACCCAGGATCAAGGAGTGACCCCCAGTTACAAGGTAAGTGTCTTTCATTTTGATTTAGTTTTTGTAAGACAAGTGTGAGGTCGACATTTAATCTTGAACTGGGATTGGTCTTTATCCTATTGATACCTGGATTTTATGTCAGCAGCTTGGAGATCCCATGCATTGTGTTATGTTGTACCAAGGATGCTTCCTTCACCACATCTCTATGCCACCCACTGCTTTCCCTAAACTAGCATAGGTGTTACATCTTGTGCTTCAGGCCTATGCTATACATTCCCAGTTTTAAAACTATACAGTGGTACCTTGGTTCTCAAATGTAATCCATTCCTGAAGACCGTTTGAGTTCCGAAGCATTTGAAAACTGAGGTGCAAAGGGCTGTCTGTAAATTCAACTGAGAAAATTGAAAAAACACCCAGCAGAATCCGTTCAACCTCCAAGGTGCTTTCAAAAATGGAAGCATTTACCGTACTTCTGGGTTTTCAGCGTTCGGGTTCCGAAATGTTCATCAACAGAGACGTTCCAGAATCGAGGTACCACTGTATTTGCTTTTGTTGCCTACACGCATTTGCTTCTGTTCATTATATTTTGTGCGTCTGTTAATTGATTATTGGACATATAATGTCCAACACCAGGTACAGTCCCTGGCAGAACATGTGTTGGGGCATCCTTCAGGAACGATGAGCGGGTAAGTTGTTGGACACCACTGCTTGAAGTCACTTGAGGGACCTTCCAGTGGTGACACCAACCTGACACACTCCTGTCTTGACTAACCCTCCCTGGAGAGAGGCAAGTGTAGTTACGGCTCTGTGAAAGTTCTAAGGGTTTATCCAAGTAGTGGCAGCTATTGTGGAAACTTTACGATGGCAACTTCCTCCCAAAAAGTCTGTGGTTTTGGACAACACCATCTGAAGTGATGGTTGGACTCCACCAAACCAGCAACCCTCTCCACATTCTGTTCTCCAGGAAAAGATAATGGCAGATCATGAGAGGCTGGATAAGGACTGTGGGACAAAATAGGGACAAATGTAAGGTTCTGCACTTGGGCAGGAAGAACCAGCTACATAAATATAAGGTGGGGGACACCTGGCTAACCAGTGGTATATGGGAATAAGATCCAGGGGGTTTGGTGGACCACAAGCTGAACATGGGTCAATAGGGTGATCCAGCAGCAAAAAAAGGTGAATGGTATTTAGGCTGCATCAACAGAAGTATAGTATCCAGATCAAGGGAAGCTATAGTCCTGCTCTGTTCTGCCTTGGTCAGATTCCACCTGGAGGACTGTGCCAATTTAAGAAAGATATTGACAAGCTGGAAGGTGTGCAGAGGAGAGTGACCAAGATGACCAAGGGTCTGGAAACCAAGCCTTTCTTATGAGGAGTGGTTGAAGGAGTTGGGTATGTTTAGCCTGGAAAAGATGAGACTGAGAGCAGATTTGATAGTCATCTTCAAATATCTCAAGGTGGAGCAAGCTTGTTTTCTCCTGCTCTGGAGGGTAGGACTCAAACCAATGACTTCAAGATACAAGAAAGGAGATTCAACAGTGGAACGGTCTCCCTTGGGAAGTAGTGGTCACTTTTTGACGCTTTAGTTGAGATTCTTGCATAGCAGGGGATTGGACTAGATGACCTTTGGGGGTACCTTTGAACCCTACAATCCTGCGATTCCATGATTCTGTGAAACTCTGGTGACTACAGTGTTTGGCTTTCCTAGTAAGGCCAACCAAATATCATAGACTCCTAAACAGACATAATAATGAACACTACATAATAAATAGATAAACCCAAACAACACAACAAGAGGGAAGGGAAAAGTATGGCATGCAAGAGAGTTACCGTAATTTTAGGAAAGGGCTGGTCTGGAATAAGGAAGGAAGGAACAGAAAGATAGAACATATGAACCTCAGAAAGCAAAAAACACAGCCAATGTTCTTCTCCAAGAACTCTGACAGACAGGCAGCTGTTGGTAGAGTAATCACTGAGGCTGCTACACTTTACTCATTTTCCTGGGAATTAGTGCCACAGAGCAGAACTGACTATCCCAGCCAACCCACTTCACCACAGATTTGAAGATGGTCTGAATATCTTCAGAGCAGAGATCCTTGACTTGAAGTGGTGCCTTGTGCAAGGAGAATACAAAGCAACGATTATACCAAATTAATTTATTGGAAGTACAGAAGCTGGTTTTGACCGAACTCTCCCACGCTTCATTTTCTTGGAGGTTCAAATCTTTGAGGTTGCAAATTAAGGTCTCTTTTTCCAGTCTTGAGGAAACAGGACTGCTAAGGTGCTTTCAGCTCTTGATGGCAGAGAGTTGAGCTCTTCCATGCCCCAATTCCATAATCTGGATTGCTGATTTTTTTAAGGGGGAGACTGATCCATTGCTTTTAGCATAGAGACCACAGAATCCAGTTTTCTCAAGGTTTTACCGTATACCATCTTTGATCAGGCATCTTCTTACATATCCACCGTTTTTCTACATTGCAGGGAATGTTTTCCCAACATTTAGTTGTTCTGGAACAATGTGATTTTAATATGACACAGGGTTCTTCTTTTATTTTGTCAGGCTGACCATGCATCCAATAACTGAAAGCAAAAGGCAGCAATCAGAAACCCATCAACTGAAACTAATGCATGCATGCTGGATGTCTACTTTTTTCTAGCATTAATGCGATATTCAGCTCAGTTCTGTCTCACTCTTGCTTTCTACCTCAAGACTGCCAGCTACTCATAATTGTAGTGCATTGTTTGTATTTTTCAGATTTTGTCCATCAGCAGAAAATGGGGGGTAGTTTCCCTCTCTATAGTTTCCTCCTGCAAGTTATTTCTCACACAAAATGGCAAAGAATGAGTGCATCGCTTGGAATACACAATGCTATGCTCAGGAAACTGCAATTAAGTCCATCTGCGTATTTAAGAATTTTACAATCCTATATTTCAACCCCAACATTTTCAAAACAGCTTATTACTCCTGGCTCCATCTGAAAAAAGTGGGGTTTTTTGGAAAGAGAAACTGAGGTCCACTGACTCTGAAGATAGTGAACTTGCTTCTCCATCATACCTATGATTAATCTGTCACCCGTGAATTCCCGACAAAGTTTCTACAATATGAAAAGTAAAGAATTTTTGTTCACACTTACGTGTTTACTACATTTGGGCCATGATGCCATTTCCATTGTCCATTCTCATGATGGAGTCCAATCCAGGAATCTTCATGTGCAAATTCTGTTTCTTTTTCTAGAAACTCCTGCAGAAAGCACAACCAGAGTCTTTCCTAGAAATGAGGAACCAGAACCCCTTTTCAAATTATTTCCAGACGATGTATCTTCTCTGGAAGACAAGAGGCTCCTCCAGATGTTCAACGGGAGTGACATGTGAATTGACAGCGGGAAGTTGCACCACAGAGATGGACTCTGCCTCCTACACCTTGCAACTAAATCAAGGATGGGCAACCCCAACCCAAGGGCAAAACTCAGCCTGACATGGGTTTCAGTTTAGGAACTATTGCTTCACAGCCCAGAAGGACAGCCCTCGAGTTCTAGAATACTAAAGCTCAGTTTAAAACCCCCACACAACTTGCTAAAAGCATGGTAACAGTAAAAACTCAGCTAGAGAAGGAACAGAGGGATAATCAGTCAGCCTAGAATCTGAACACTTAAGCTGAGTGCACACAGGAGAGTACTCTCTCAAGATGCCAAGGATCTTCAGAGTCCTTTACTCTGTGAGGTTGGGTACTCCTTTCATCATTAGATCCTGTCTCTTAACGACAGAGCTTGCAATATAACCCCCTTCCGGCAAGCCCTTTCTCCCTCCTTTCTTGACTCACCACTGGGCCTGCAAATCCCAGATCCTCTGCTGTGCCTTTTGCTGGCCTAAAACCTCCTCATTTGTGGGGACTGATACAATTTAAAGACTGCCTCTCTAGCTCCATGCCTGATGGTTTCCACCTGCTTTACTTGTACATTTCTTAATAGATACTACCTCCCCTGCTAGAAAAAAAGCAAAACAAGCATCCAGTACTCCCCCTTCACTAGATCACAATTCATTCAAGAGTGCCCCATGACATCTTTCTGCTCGTGGAGAAAGAGGGGGAAGTAAGATGTTCATGCACTAGTATGCGGAGGCTGCCAGAGAACTTTTATAGGCACCCAAAGGACTTAAAATCAGTTAATTTCAAGAGAGTGTCATGAATGTGGCCCCCCAAAGCACAGTGGAAGAGTCAGCCTCACAAATTGAGCTGAGTGAGCAAAGGGCTGACTCTGCAGATGGGAGCTGTCTGTCTGATTTTAGACAGAACAGCCTGGGTTCCCTCCTTTCCTGGGAAGAAGCAGTTAGCTCCCAAGGAGAGGAAGAGTGAGAAGTTGACCAAAGCATTGCCATGCAACCACCAGATAAGTCAGTGTTGAAGGCTGAGTCTTCTGGGGAAGAGCCAGCCCTGCAGTCCTCAAACGAGGACATTGGAGAAGATCGGAGAGCAACAGAAGGAAAGGAGACGAAAGGCGGGATTTTGGCGTTCTTCCTGTTGGGCAAGGGACAATGAGTCAGACTGAGCAACTAAGGTTAATGAGAGCAGGCAGAACACCATTCTTTGGATGTGTGTGTGTGTTTGTATATAAACTTATATAAAACTGACAGAGAGTCCTTGTTGCTTATCAGGCTGCTTGCCTGCTAGAGATCATTATAGCGAGTTTCCTGGTGTTGTACTCACCTCCACACGAACATCTTCAACAAATGTCAGCCAGGACTTTTCCTCCTCACAAAACTCTTTTGCACCGAACCATGACTTTCTTCGAACTTCAAACAAATAGAGAAGCCCAGCATGTGGCATCCACTTTAGACGAAATTTTCTAATAAGGTCCTCTTTCAACCCAGCAAGGAATTCACAGGGAAAAGAGAGGGGGCAGAATTTGAGAGATGCCAAGTTGAAGGCCTGTGGATCACTTTAAAATACACACACAAACTCGAAGTGAATGACATAATAATATTTCATTACCATCCAGCACAATTTACTAATGTAACAGGATAGCCAGCCTTCTGCCCTCTGAAACGTTTGTTCCTGTAATGAACATATTTAGAAGCTGGTTTCAATGAGAAGGTGTCATTGATTTCCCTCCCTATTACCATATTTGCATTCACCAATTGATTTGCAAATAATTTTCTCATACATTTATCTAGACAGCCTATTAGAAAGCTATATACTAGGTCTGCACTAAAATGGGTACCATCCTTACTAATTTTTACTGATAATGTTTGGAATTTCAGTGAAAATATGCAAAAAAGGAGGCCACCCCATTGGTGTAGAACTTTCCTCATCCCTCCCCCACTGTCAAATGTGCATCACCGAGGTACTCAGGTGTGTCTCATGACATAAAACCCACAACAATTAGAGTCCACTTATAGTCTCAATTTAGTGGGATTTTCTGACTCCTAAACTAACAATGAAATCCCTTCCCTGATACACCTCTGTCTTCTCCCAAACTTACATGACAGTGGAACAGCAGCATAAAGGTCTCTCATTCCCACTCACACCTGAAGTACTGCAACAGCAGCATCCCAGGTGCAAGGGGACCTGGTAAAGGTAAAGGGACCGCTGACCATTAGGTCCAGTCATGGACGACTCTGGGGTTGCAGTGCTCATCTCGCTTTATTGGCCGAGGGAGCCGGCGTACAGCTTCCGGGTCATGTGGCCAGCATGACTAAGCCGCTTCTGGTGAACCAGAGCAGCGCATGGAAATGCCGTTTACCTTCCCGCCGGAGCGGTACCTATTTATCTACTTGCACTTTGACGTGCTTTCGAACAGCTAGGTTGGCAGGAGCAGGGACTGAGCAACGGGAGCTCACGCTATCGTGGGGATTCAAACCGCCGACCTTCTGATTGGCAGGCCCTAGGCTCTGTGATTAAAAACATAAACACCTTCTGGATCAGGAAAGAACCCATGTATTCCAGCATCCTGTTCTCACAGTGGCCCATTGGAACTCTTGCAAGTAGGATCTGATTACAACAGCACTCTCAGTTGATTTGCAGTGGTAGTGGCGATGAAGAAATATGATCTCAAGACTAAATCTGGATGGGTCCTGGCTCACCTCATATTGGGGGTGAGACATTCTTGTATCCCAAACTCCCACAATTCCAAACAATTTCAACCATTAATTAGGAAGTCATTCAAGAAGGAGTTCATCAACTTGCAGAGCCACAAAAATCCAAAGGCACAAGGTTCTTCACATCTGAATTTCTTCTGGGATTGTGAAGGTCTGAATCGCTCAATCTGTTTTATCAAAGTAGTGTGTGAGAGGCTGAGGGCAGCTGGGCCCCTGAACCTTCAAGAGCTGTGCAGACAAACAAATTTCAATACTTCAGTATCATTGTCTCAAAAGAACTTACCAATTGCAAGTTGTACTTCATACACTTTGAAGTTCCATGCAACCAATTCATCTGCCAACTTCTGAGCTCCACGAAATATTTCAGAATCTAAAAGGTTTGAGCAATTCAAGTCAGTGGTAATGCAAACATCCATCTATGTATATAAAAAAGTCATTTTCCAAAATCTGATGTACAATCACATTCTAGCGTGAAAAAAAGAAGCAGAGCCCTGCTATGGAGCCTAGATAGGAGGAGTCCTGGTTCTCAGTGTCTGGGATGACCAAGGTTTACTCCACCCTTGCCCCAATTGGGTCAGCTGTTAACACCCATTTCCTTTCTACTTAGGGATATTGGTATACTGATGGTAAAACTTGTCCTATCTCCTGGAGAAGGCCATTTTGTGGCTTGACCTTCATGGTTCTTGAAAGGGAGTGGGTTGTGTGTCTTCTTTGTGAAGAGCACACAAGGACACACTGGACGGAGATTGCCCTATTCAAGTGGAATTTTCAATGTATGTGTGCAGGTTCAAGCTTCCTCAAGGGTAACTTAGGCTCCAAAGTAGTATTCATGGTGCCAGCAATAGATATGTGCTTTCTGCAACTGAAAATGTTCTCGGGCAAGTTCTCCACGTTCAAACTTACAGTTTGCTGCAAAATGTTCAGTACACAAAATTCTCAAATTGAATGTCATAGGATTAAATAAAAGTTTTAGAAAAGCCATGAGAATATTGAGTTGGAACCACAACTGAGGAGATGCCAGAGGTTAGCGGTGGGACCCATGTTTTAAACTCGCACAACTCCAGCCTCCAATGTTCCAAAGTACATGGCTGAAACTGGCATCACTTGGCAATGTTCACTTGCCTGCTTCTCAAAATAGCCAAACCAAATGATTTGTGTGGGGCCAATGCTAGAATTAAGCCATTTAATGTTGTCTGAGTCACAACAATTTCCATTTATTAATTCAGTTCTATGCATGTCAATTCCGTAGCTATTAACCATCTTATCAATAAATTGAAAATAAAAGTGGGGAATAGTTTGGCACGAAGGGTGAGCACTTTTCAGAAGTATAGTGATACAGTGGTACCTCTGGTTACGTACTTAATTCATTCTGGAGGTCCGTTCTTAACCTGAAACTGTTCTTAACCTGAAGCACCACTTTAGCTAATGGGGCCTCCCACTGCTGCTGCGCTGCCGGAGCCCGATTTCTGTTCTCATCCTGAAGCACAGTTCTTATCCTGAGGTACTATTTCTGGGTTAGCGGAGAGACTTGAAACAAGTTCTGTTGTTGTTGTTTAGTCGTTTAGTCGTTCCCGCCTCTTTGTGGCCCCCTGGACCAGAGCACGCCAGGCACTCCTGTCTTCCACTGCCTCCCGCAGTTTGGTCAAACTCATGCTGGTAGCTTTGAGAACATTGTCCCACCATCTCGTCCTCTGTCATCCCCTTCTCCTTGTGCCCTCCATCTTTCCCAACATCAGGGTCTTTTCCAGGGAGTCTTCTCTTCTCATGAGGTGGCCAAAGTATTGGAGCCTCAGCTTCAGGATCTGTCCTTCCAGTGAGCACTCAGGACTGATTTCCTTCAGAATGGATGGGTTTGATCTTCTTGCAGTCCACGGGACTCTCAAGAGTCTCCTCCAGCACCACAATTCAAAAGCATCCATTCTTCGGCAAGCAGCCTTCTTTATGGTCCAGCTCTCACTTCCATACATCACTACTACTGTGGGGCAATACCCCTTGATGGGGTGTAGGGCTGGGGAGCAGTGTTCATGAATATACAGATGGAAACGAATCGCTTACCATTCTTGTTCTGAAGGGACGGTTCCCTTTTTATCATAAAGTCTCTGATAGTTTTCATTGCTCTTTTTTCTAGCTGCATTTTGTTCTGCTCGTAGATATCTAGAAGGGATTAAAGAGAAAAAGAAATGGTATTCCAACACACTAGTCTGGGCATGAGTGTGCTACACCCCTCCCCCCAAAAATAATAATTGCTTAGAATGATTTTTGATTCAATGATCCCTGTGCCTTCACTGTGAAACCTGCTTTTTGTATGACAGTCATAGTTTCTAGCAGGTGATAAGCAGTCTTGTATACCTGGTGAATTGGTTCTCCCAGCCCTGCTGAATCCATTGTGATTTGATGTCTTCCTTGGGATATAGTCATGCAAAGATCATGGGCACATTGGGTGATGACATCATAACGGACTAGGGATGCAACACCTTCCTCCCATTTTATCTTGCCAGTGCAAAAGGCTTTCTGCCACCACATGAGCAGGAAGGAACAAGGCGGACAGACTGCAGACCCGTATTCCCAGGAGGAGGCACAGCCAGCAAATGTGTTAAGCAGAGATCCCCTGTACAACTTAGGAGAGTCGCTTTAGGAGAAGGAATCTCTCATTCAGCAGACAAAGATTAGAAGAAATAGGAGCAGAGAATTGCACGCTAGGAGAGAGATCTCTGCAGGATGCTCCAAAATGTTGTCCTTCCAATGGCAGGTGAAGACTTTCTTAGCTCAACAGACTTTTAGGAACTGACTGTTTTGAACGAAAGGGCTGGTGCTGTGATGTTTTTCTTGTGGTTGTTATTTTAAATAGTTCTTTATATATATTATTTTAATTCCATTAGTGTTTAATTGCTGTTTGGTGATGATTGTATCTATGTTTTTAGCTTTCTCTGTTTTATCATCATCATCATCATCATCATCATCATCAACAACAACAACAACATTTATACCCCACCCATCTGTCTGGGTTTCCCCAGCAACTCTGGGCAGCTTCCAGCACATACTAAACACAATAAAACATCAAACATTAAAAACGTCCTGATACAGGGCTGCCTTCAGATGTCTTCTAAAAGTCAGGTAGTTGTTTATCGCTTTGTCATCTGATGGGAGGGCGTTCCACAAGGCAGGTGCCACTACTGAGAAGGCCCTCTGCCTGGTTCCCTGTAACCTCACTTCTCACAGGGAGGAAACTGCCAGGAGGCCCTTGGAGCTGGACCTCAGTGTCCAGACTGAACGATGGGGGTGGAGATGCTCCTTCAGGTATACTGGGCCAAGGCCATTTAAGGTTTAAAAGATCAGTGCCAACACTTTGAATTGTGCTCGGAAATGTACTGGGAGCCAGTGAAGATCCTTTAGGACCCGTGTTATATGGTCCCAGCGGCTACTGTAAGCTGTGTTGAGTCCAGTCTGAGGAAAAGGCGGGATATAAACAAACAAACAAACAAACAAACAAACAAACAAACAAACAAAGTTGGCCTATGAAGTCTCTGGAGTGTTCAGGGACAAGAAACAGAAGCATTTGTTTCAATGGGTGAGATTCAACCACTTCCTTACCTCACACACTGGGAGGTAAAAGGGATTAGCTGAGGCTGGATGATGCCCCCACTTTTGAAAGTGTTCTTCAAAATGATGTAAAGCCAACCAGGAAAACTCTATAGCCCCCCCCCCGAGTTGAACTTACACAGATTAATTACTCCAACTGCAGCACAAAACAGGACCAGGCACAGCACCACCGCAGTAGTTGCAGCAAGGGAAGGTACAGAGCACTCTGTTATGTACTGCAAAACCATAGCATATTTTCCTTGAAGTGCAAAAAGAAAGAAAATTATGCTTTAATAATCACATATGAACATCCCGCCATTATCCCACTAAGGTAGGGTTCATTTTGCTGTGTTTTTGGAATTCTTGCTGACGTATAAAGCTATTAACATATATACAAGAAAATAAGGTGAGACGGAGCACATAGTTGACCTATGGAATTTACTCCCACAAGGAGTAGTGATGCCCATCAACCTGGGTGGCTTTTAAAGAAGGTTAGACAGACTCATGGAGGTGAGGTTGACCAATGTCTACCAGCTACAGCGGCTATGTTCTGCATTCGCTGTTAGAGGGAATATGCCTCTCAAAACCCATTGCTGGGTATTGCAAATAAGGACTACGCTGTTGTATTCAGGTTCAGCTTGCAGGCTTCCTGTAGGCATCTGTTTGGCCACTGTGAGAACAGGGTGTTGGACTACATGAGCCTTTTGCCTGACCCAGTGGAGCTTTAAAACACTATATCAAACAAATCTATAAATTGTTAGTGGTGTTTTCTAAATATGTAAGTTGTCTCTTAAGGATTCTGCACTAAACAAACAACTAAGACATTCCAAACATCAAAACACACACACTATCCTTTCTTATAACAATCTGAAACAAGGATGCAGACTTGGGAACAAAAGATTATATGAACAGCACCGCATTAAGTAGTCCCCAGTGGAAGCCACCAGAGCATGGCCTTGGCACCAGTTGGGCTCACCATAAAGAGATGCAAGAAGTCCCTCATCATACATAGCTTTAGCTTCTCCCCAGGAGTGGTCCATTCTGCTTTGCCACCTGAGGCAAAATGGGATGGTGGCACCATGTTTGCATGCCATTGACCCCACCTTGCTGCACCTGCTGAAGTCTGGCTTACCAGACTTCTGGGTTCTGGCAAGATCTCACAAGAGCCCCATGAGATCGGACAGAGGCCTTGCGTGATCTACCCAAGATCCTGGTTTGGCCACACAAGAAATGAAGTCTTCAGGCAATTTCACTGAGTTCTCACCCCGAAACCACTTCTACCACTTCTCCAGTGATGGAGGAGCATGTGACCATTAGATTCTACAGCCTGAGGCAGTTTCCTCAGTCTGCCACATGGATGGGTCGCCCCTGCTTCTCCCACTCCACTCTGTGATGGAGCATTCAGGCCACACTTGAATGACCATAAGGATTTCAAGATGAGCAAGCCAAAGCTGGCTTTCTAAGCCTGTCTCCCATGTCGACTGTCAGGCTAAGTGAATGGAGAATTCTTTCTTGCCTGCCATTTCTTTCTGTCTGAGGTTCCCTGTTTAAATAAGTAGAGAGGAGAGAACATAGGCTGAAGCTTGGTGCTTCACACCACCGCTGCCATAGCCAGCAGAGGACGTTGGACTCAAACCCTGCTTGGTTGGTTTGACTAAGTGAGCCTGCTGGGTTGACAGAGCACTGCTAGCTTTTCTCCAGCCCTTCCCATCATGACTGACCACATATGCCTCCTGTTGCTCTCCCACCTTTCCTTTCCAGTGTGTTCCTCGTCTATGCTATGAACCACTTCTGTGTGTGCTGCATACATACCCTTTCTAGGTGGTGGTTTTCGTCTGCGTTTTAGTCTTGTTCTGGATGCCACACTGGATCTAGAAGAGACATTGGATCTAGAAGCCACATTGGATCTGGAAGCCACATTGGATCTGGAAGCCACATTGGATCTGGAAGCCGCATTCGATCTAGAAGCCACACTGGTTTTTGACGCTGCATTGTGGGGTTGGGTCACATAATATGTAATTTATTAGAACATCAGCTCGTAAAAAAGGGAAGAGAAAAGGCGCTGTGTACTAGGAGCTAAACCCCAGTAGGAGAAGCCCCTCCAAAACTTGAGGTGTCTTCGCCAAACTCTGCATGAGGTTTCCTGTGGTGAGGTTGGGTGTCTGTCAGGGATTGGCTGGTTGAGGAAGACTGGGGGCAGCCAGTAGTCCACGAGGCACCTGAGTGGGGAGGGGACTTTGACCCAGGTTCAGGCTGGTGGGACAGGGAGGAATCAGCAACAGAGAGTGAGGGTGAAGGGGAGATGCTTGAGGTAGCCACAGAAAGAAGGGTCGAGAAAAGGCTAGAACAATCAAGAGAAGCCGAGTCACAGCAAAACAACTCATGGAGGGAGGTATAAATAAGGGAGAGAGAGGTTGGAACTGTAGCTTCTGCAACTGACTTGCTTAGCTGATGTATGTGCAGTGCGCTGTCTCCTTGGTTACTGAGCAATAAAGTTAATTATGGCCAAGCCCTTCCGGTTTCTGCTTACAGCATTGGACCCTAGACGGAAGGGCTTTTCTGGCAGCCTGACAGGGTCTCGCCACAAGTGCCATTTTGAATCAAATATGTCTTTGGCATGACTTCACCCAATTTATGGCACAATGGGTCCAAACTCATATATTACAGTGTCCATTTAAAGAACACAACATTCTGAGGTCCCAGGCAGCATCAAGCACTACCTGCTAGTAAGGTATAAATCCAGGGGATTGATTAGGTGAAATATATAGCAATGCTATTTAACTGCATCATTAATCAAGCTGAATAAAGGTACGACTATATGAATCTAGGACTCAATGTCAGTTCATATGTGCTGACGACGGAGTAACAAAGTAAAAGATAAATCATCAAATGATTGTTTCAATTAATGAACAGTATGGTTCATTTCTTTTATTAAATTTAATAAAATGTCAGAAGGTGGAAAAAAGGCAGGCGCTCAATCTGAGAATAGTGTTGCCCAGAGATAAATCTCTGCCCTCTCCCTCAATTTCACACTCTCATGGCAGAAGGAAGGAAAGGAAGCAGGAATCAGAAGGACAGAAGGAAGGCTCAGAGGTGAGTAGAGTAACTCTGCCTTCCTGTATTGCTCTGAAGAGGAAATAACAGTGGGAAAAACCTACCTCCTGTGAATGTCAGGCCTCCCACCATTTTAACTGCTCATTCGGATTGGCACCTTATGTCATCCTGTGTTCGGAACCATATGACAGAGTAGACAGTTAGCACAACTTCTATCAAAGAATTTAGCAGGCAAAGACAAATCAGAATAACAACCTACAAAAACTTGCCTCTTTCTGTTGACAAGAACTTTTTCTTGGCTTCCATCTTATCTCCTCATGTTGAGTGTTGTCTCATCTTGGAGTTCTTCTATGTGACCATTTAATGGAGTAAAGTATTAAAATAATGTCTTGAGACAAAGCTACCATTTACAGAGCAGTCACACCATGCTATTCATACAAGGGAGCTGGCATGAAAAACTTGCGTGCATCCAACCCTCACTTTGTTTTCAAACATGGAGTTGTCTATTCCCTGGAGAACTACAGGAATCTTCTCATCTCCCACTATAATAGGACAATTGGGTCCTTCTGAGTTCTAGTTCAGTGACAGAGCACATACTTCATTCAAAAGGCCCTGATACAATCTGCAGCATCTCCCATCATAAGGAGCTCCAGCAGTAGGTCTGAGAAAGACCTATCTTTGCCAGAGATCCTGGGCAGCTGTTGCCAGTTGGCTAGATAGCACAGGGGGCAAGACAACCAATGGCTGGACTTAGAAAAAGGCAGCTGATTATGAATGATTTGTTCCCCCTACTTTGGATACCGTGGTGCCTCACTGAATCCTTTATCTTCTCTCTGCCTCAGCGTCTTCCTGCAGATGTTCCTTCCTTTAACGGCTTCAACCACCTTCCACTTTGATGCAGAACATTCCAGAACTCTTCCCATTCTGCTCCTTCCTGATTGGGACTGGCAGGCAGCCAATCAGCACTCCACAAATAGCAGAAGTCACTTACTCTACTTTCAAGGCACTCTCACACATGAAAGGGCTGCTCATGAATATCTTTGGAACACTATAAAATGCAAAAATGTTCACTTGCCGCAACCTGCTGGGGAATCTCTTCATTGTGTTCCATCATGCTGCTCTTGGAAATCTGCAGTCTTTTGAATGCTACTGGACTACAATTCCCATCATCCATTTCCATTGTCCATGATAATTTTGTTTGATGGGTGTTCATAGAATTGTAGAGTTGGAAGGGAAACCAAAGTCCATCTAGTTCAACCCTGTGCAATGAAGGAATCTCAACTAAAGCATCCATGACAGATGGCCATCCAACCTCTGCTTAAAAACCTCCAATGAAGGTGAGTCCACAACCTTCCAAGGCACCACTCCAAGTGGAGATTCCCCGTTCTGGACTTATTTGGACCAATCTGGAATCTGTGGTGACGTGGGCTGGCTCTGATACTTTGAAACCACCTCAGAGCCTTGGGAGGGCTTATGACATCTTTTGATACATTTTTGTAAATTGCTCCATCTCCAGGTTTTGCCCCACATTAAAGCCTCCCAGTACCTGCCATGATCTTTCCTTAGGGAACAGGGTGTGGAGAGAGTTGCTGGTTTGGTATTATCCAAAACCACAGACCTAGACCAGGAGGAGGGTCAAGTGGGTTCTGACCAAACAATGGTGACTCTTCCTGGTAATGGTGCGAGCATCGTCCTCTCCTTTGAGGACAAACACGGGTGGTGTAGAGGTGAATTCTTACCACATTGGTTTTTTGTTTTTTAAATCACATAAGGCTCCAGCCATTGTGTGAAATAATCCATGGCAACCCAAATATAATGGTTGCCAGTCCCTGTTTCAGACAAGTTCCCTAGTACACCCACCATCGCCTGCTCCATTGGAGTGCCCACCAGGAATTGCTGCATCAGGGTCCTCCTTTGCTGTGCACACATCACATCTTCAGCATCTGGGCTAAGCCACTGAGAGGTTGTATGCCACCCTGAATTGCTACCAGGTGGTAGCAAGATTCCAGAGAGTTTTAGGCAGTTACTCAGGGATGTGTTTCCAACAGCCTGCAGACTGTCTCGCCAGAGTGGTGCATGCTCTGGTTATCTCCCTCTTGGACTACTGCAATGCGCTCTACGTGGGGCTACCTTTGAAGGTGACCCGGAAACTACAACTAATCCAGAATGCGGCAGCTAGACTGGTGACTGGTAGTGGCCGCCGAGACCATATAACACCGGTCTTGAAAGACCTACATTGGCTCCCAGTACGTTTCCGAGCACAATTCAAAGTGTTGGTGCTGACCTTTAAAGCCCTAAACAGCCTCGGTCCAGTATATCTGAAGGAGTGTCTCCACCCCCATCGTTCTGCCCGGACACTGAGGTCCAGTTCCGAGGGCCTTCTGGCGGTTCCCTCACTGCGAGAGGCCAAGTTACAGGGAACCAGGCAGAGGGCCTTCTCGGTAGTGGCGCCCGCCCTGTGGAACGCCCTCCCATCAGATGTCAAAGCGATAAACAACTACCTGACATTCAGAAGACATCTGAAGGCAGCCCTGTTCAGGGAAGTTTTTAATATGTGACATTTTTGTGTATTTTTCATCTTTTTTGGAAGCCGCCCAGAGTGGCTGGGGAAACCCAGCCAGATGGGCGGGGTACAAATAATAAAGACTCAGGGAAGACTGTCATGTCTTTAAGAAATATGGTTTATTTTACACATATTTACACCAGGGTGTTGAAAGAAAACTGTATAAAAATGATTTATACAAAAACGAGCAAAAATGCAAAAATATATACCAGGTATTTGCTGGAAAGGGCAAGAGGAGGAAGGGTCATTTTATCACACGTGGTGGTACTGTAAAAAGTTGAAGGACTTTTGGGAAATCATAACAAATTGAAAAGGAAGTTTAAATTAATAATCCCTAAAAAACAACAACAACCCCAAAGCCTTTTTACTAGAAATAATGGGGACATAGGTCCCAAGAAAGCTGAGTAGTTTATTTATGTATGTGGCAACAGCAGCTAGAAGTTTATATGCACAGAAGTGGAAAGAGAAAAAATTACTAACTAAGGAAGAATGGCTTATGAAATGGGTGGAATATGCTGAAATTGTGAAATTAACTGCCAAATTAAGAGGACATAATGACAAAGTGTTTAAGGAGGAATGGAGACCCCGGATGGGTTACCTTTCAAAATATCACCAATAGATGAAGTTGTGGGCAGGATTTAAAAATATAAGCAGTGGATTCATGAAAGATTTAACGGTAGCGGGGTTTAGATAATAAAAATACATGTGCTGTAAAGCAGCTAATGAAAAGGAGTAAAAAAACGAACACCAGGAAAGGACAGGAGGGAAGTCAGGAAGCAAATTTGTATGTTAAAAAATTGTATACAGTGGTGCCTCGCAAGACGAAATTAATTCGTTCCGCGAGTTTTGTCGTCTTGCGATTTTTTTCGTCTTGCGAAGCACGGTGTCGGGAAAGTTTTGGAAAAGCTTCAAAAATCACCAAAGTCTTCAAAAACCTCAAAAAAGGCTACCACACCGCGTGCTATGAGTTGCTCCTCGAAGTCAAGTCGCAACTGTATTAACGGTTTTAAGAAAAAGGAAACAAACTTGCAAGACGTTTCCGTCTTGCGAAGCAAGCCCATAGGGAAAATCGTCTTGCGAAGCAACTCAAAAAACCAAAAACCCTTTCGTCCTGCGAGTTTTCCGTCTTGCGAGGCATTCGTCTTGCGAGGTACCACTGTATGATGATCAATGCTTTGGAATATTGTTGGAGACTTAATAAAAATGATATAAAAAAGACGCAGCAGAGACTGTCATGTATTTGAGAAATATGATTTATTTTAAACATATTTACACCAGGGTGTAGATGGAGGGAGTGCAGAGGTTATAACATTCACATCTCAAGAGTGGCTTGTTCCCCACAGCAGTGCAGCAAGACAGCTCCTTGCCTCTGTCCCAGTCTACCTTCAGCCAGCCTGCCAAGATACTTCTGCCCTCCAGTCCCCATATGAAGTTCTGGCCCCTCGCTTCTTCCCAAGAACCTTTGCTAAACAGCCCCTCCCCTTCTCCAAATCTCTCCGTTTTAAAACGGATACGTTTTTCCTATGCAGCATCATGCTCTCACCATGCTCTTGGCAACCTCTGTTGTGCACAGACCCAAGGGTGTTTCTTTGACATTTTGATGACTGCCACTGTTTCATAATAGCTTGCACTCAACTAGCCTGGCCAGAACTTCAGCCCAGGCTAGTTAGCATAGGCTAAACCCAGGAATTTCTGTGTTTGGCACAGTTCAGGAGACCTGCTGCAGCCTGTATTTCCCCCTCAATGTCCCAAATATTACCAGAATTCCACCATTTTATTAATTTCTAACATTCACTAACTCTAGACCTGTAACATTATATTAAATTAATTTATTGGAAGTACAGAAGCCAGTTAGGACTGAATTCTTCCATGCGGTCCAAGTCTTTGAGGTTGCAAAATAAGATCTCTTCTTCCAGTCCTGAGGAAGGAATACTGACAAGGCGCTTTTGATTGTTGACAGCAGAGGGTTGAGCTCTCCCATGCCCTGATTCCATAACCCGGACAGCTGACTTTTAAAAGCGGGGATCGATCCACTGTCTGTTTTTAGCATAGAGCTCATGCAATCCAGTTTCATCAAGGGTTTAACGTGTACCACCTTTTATCAGGCATCTTCTTACATATCCATCTTTTTTGTCTATCACAGGGAATGTTTTCCCAGCATTTTTGGGGGGTAGAGCAATGTGCTTTTAGGATGGCACAGCGTTTGTTATCTAAATCATGCGGCATACCTGCCTTCCAGTAACTGAAAACAAAAGGTAGCACCAGAAATAAGTGAATCAAAAGTAATGAATCTGCATTGGATATTTACTTTATTTCGGAATGTTAAGGAAATGTTCAGCTCAGTTCTTTCACACTCCTGTTTTCTGTCTCAGGGTTGCCACCTACTCATAACTGCAATGCATAGATTTATTTATTTTTTAAAAAGATTCTGCCCATCAGCAGAAAATATATTATGGGGGAAGTTCCTTTTTGTCACTGTGAGCTGTCTCTCACTTTATACATCCCACGGTACATTATCTGATGCCTTTTTCACACTATATAATTTTATTGTATTTTATTTCTCACAGTTATATTGCAATTAGTGCAGAAGGGCATCCCCCTACTAAAGAGCAGGTAATATATTGTAGAATAAAACAAAGCACCCCCTATTTGATACATGAGAATTGGGTGGCAGATTGGGGGAGGGGCACTCATTTTGTTAAGCCTTGTGGAAATTTAACTCTAGAGATGAGTACGGTGTCTCATTAAAGGAAAGCCACAGAACCACACCACAACAAAACCCAATTTTTTCTTTTAAAAAATCATGATAACAAACATTTTCATATTTTTTTTTGGGGGGGGAATAGTTGGAGCAGAAAAATTAAACCAGGCCTGAAAAGCAGATGAGAGGGAAGGTTGGAAAAACTGCTGCTTAAAATACTACTCTAGCAATGAAGCTCAGCAGCGGAGTGTCCCCCTCCTGCGCCCAGGGTGCACTGGCATGTGCTCTGGCCCTGTAAGCACAGTGCTGCTTTTGCGAGTGGTGCTGGGCTTGCAGGAAGGGTGCTGTGAACTGTTGCATCCTTCTCATGGTGCTCTCCAATTGGAGGGTGGCTGAGAAGGATGCAACAGGCCTGCGCCTTGGTTCCTGTGAGCCCAGCGCTATGGACTTACTCGCAGGGTCCAGGGTGCATGCCTGTTGCCTCCTTCTCAGTTGCCAACAGAAGGACGCAACAGGCCACAATGCCCTCCCTGCACAATGCTCTTCAGAAAAGCACCACTGAGCTTGCAGGGCCAGGGCGCATCCTGTTGTGTCCTTCTCAACTGCCCTCCAGCTGGAGGGCACTGAGAAGGACGCAACTGCTCATGCTGAGGCAGGATGCCATGATGTGCCCACCAAAAAACTGTGTCTGGGGTGACAGTCCCCTCATCCTCCCCACGCCCTACACCACTGATGAACCTCATTTGGTGGGGTCAGAAAAAATGGATAGCAGAGCAACAACCAGTGATAGGCAGAGCCAACTAATGCTGCTTTTGTTCCCGTTCTCCTTTCTGTTGAGCTCTATGATGGCAACATTGAGTCCAAGTAGGCACGGGGCTGACAGCCATTGCAACCCTCTGGACTGTTTGTAAATAAGGTGGCAATGACGGGCCCCCCATGGCTGGCTTGCTAGAGATGAGACAAGAAAACTATCAAGACTTTTTAAATACTCAAGATCACTGCATGTCAACTTTTGATTAAAATGGACTGGAGATGGTTGTTTGCCTTCTACTAAACTCCTATGGAGCTCAAAAAGAAACATAAAACCACAGCCTGTGTGAATTCCTGATGCAGGTAAAGCAGAACAAGTGTGCTCAGAGATGGGCCAAAACAAACAAGATGAACTTTAACAGGGAGAAATGTAAAGTATTGCACTTGGGCAAAAAAAATGAGAGGCACAAATACAAGATGGGGGACACCTGGCTTGAGAGCAGTACATGTGAAAAGGATCTAGGAGTCTTGGTGGACCACAAACTTGACATGAGCCAACAGTGTGACGCGGCAGCTAAAAAAGCCAATGCAATTCTGGGCTGCATCAATAGGAGTATAGCATCTAGATCAAGGGAAGTAATAGTGCCACTGTATTCTGCTCTGGTCAGACCTCACCTGGAGTACTGTGTCCAGTTCTGGGCACCACAGTTCAAGAAGGACACTGACAAACTGGAACGTGTCCAGAGGAGGGCAACCAAAATGGTCAAAGGCCTGGAAACGATGCCTTATGAGGAACGGCTAAGGGAGCTGGGCATGTTTAGCCTGGAGAAGAGGAGGTTAAGGGGTGATATGATAGCCATGTTCAAATATATAAAAGGATGTCATATAGAGGAGGAAGAAAGGTTGTTTTCTGCTGCTCCAGAGAAGCGGACACGGAGCAATGGATCCAAACTACAAGAAAGAAGATTCCACCTAAACATTAGGAAGAACTTCCTGACAGTAAGAGCTGTTCGACAGTAGAATTTGCTGCCAAGGAGTGTGGTGGAGTCTCCTTCTTTGGAGGTCTTTAAGCAGAGGCTTGACAACCATATGTCAGGAGTGCTCTGATGGTGTTTCCTGCTTGGCAGGGGGTTGGACTCGGTGGCCCTTGTTGTCTATTCCAACTCTATGATTCTATGAATGCCTAACAAAGTTTCTACAATACAATAAGCAGAGAAATTTTGTTTACACTCACGTGGTTCCAACATTAATACCGTTATACCATTGCCATTTCCCATCCTTATAAGGAAGACCGATCCACGAGTCTTGATGTGCAGTATTGGTTTCTCTTTCTAGAAACTCCTGCAAAGAGCACAATCAGAAGGTCTTTCCTAGGAATGAGGAACCAGAATCCTCTTTCAAATCAATTCCAGATTACATATCTTTCTTAGGAGAAAACCAGTCTCTTCCAGTAGTGAAACAAACATGAAATGTGCATGGGCAGGAGAATGTTTCATCACAGAAACAAGCTTGGTCTCTTTTCCCACCTACATGTACTCATTTGAATGTCTGATGAAAGGAATAATGGGGGGGGGGGACTAAAAAAAATGGTATCAATTATATAATATAATTATATTATTATAATTATCAGAGGTGAATTAAGTCAGGTTGGGCACCTATGCACTTATTGACATTCATCTTTCTCTTTCTCTTTCTTTTTCTCTTTCTCTTTCTCTTTCTCATACCAGGAGGTGTAAGGAAATTGACATTGTACTATGTCCAGTCTGCAACTCAAAACACATTCTAGCAAAGTGCCCAGTAATCTGATACTTTTAGCTTGGTTCATAAACTCTGCAGTAGAATTTTGATTATTTGGAGTATCGAAGGGAAGATTGCAGTGGGAAAACACAGGCTAAAGTTCCCTTCCAAGCCAAGGCCTCACCTGGAATAGAGGTATTAACATGACAAAAGGTGTTGATGGCCCATCTAAGAGGAATCTTGGGCCTGGGCAGACAGAAGATGGCCAAGGTAACTGGGTGTGAAGGGACGGGAAAAGAAAGTCTTTAGCAAGGTGTGCTGGGAAGAGAAGAAAGACTGGAATCCATCTTGGGTAGGCTGCCTGCAGTCTGGCTGGGAGATGCCTTTGACTCCAGGGCTGCACCCTTTTGAAATGACTGTGCTGTAGGATCTGGACTCCATGCAGACTGAAGGTGTAAAGAGGCAAATAAACCACATTTCTTAAAGCTACAGCAGTCTCTACTGTGTCTCAGTTCTCTAAAGGAACACAGACCCTGGGTGAGTGCTAGGAACCTCCTGGGATCTTGCTGTTGAGGTTCGTGAGAAACTGCAGCTTTGAAGTGGACAATTAATGAGTTGGCAAGAAGCCAAGTTAAGCGAAAGTACGTGAGAAAGTCTGCTTGGAGACAGGGAAGCCTAGCAGCAGGTAATGATTGGGTTAAGTTTTTCCCTTTTAAGCAGCATGACACAGTAGTTTGGTGTTGGAGTTCAGAGGTTGGGGTGTAGAGTTTGAATTGAGTCTGTGCATATACAGTGGTGCCCCGCAAGATGAATGCCTTGCAAGACGGAAAACCCGCTAGACGAAAGGGTTTTCCGTTTGCGATGCGCTTCGCAAGACGTGGTAACTTGTACAAAGCTGTGCTATACTCTGTATATAATAAAAGCAAATACAAATCAAGTTACTGTTCAGCACATTATGTTCCTGAGTTGTCATCCCGGACTACACGGACTAAGCAGCCGGTAGCAGAGAGTTTTGGTTGAGATCCATCAACACTTGCCACCTATCGGAGGAGTGGGGGTGGCACCAAACTTTTGTAACACTATTTTAAAAAATAAACAACCCCCCCCCAATCTCCAGAACTTTTTGATCATTGGAGCACAGTTTATATAATTTGGCCCCTTGATTTTTTTCCCCTGCTTGTGGAGGAAAGGAGAAGGAAGTAGTTGAGATGCTGCAGAAGTTTCATAAGCACCCAAAGGGCATAAAATAATCAAATTGTGAAGGAATAGTCTTGGTGTTCATGTATTCCAGTGTTCTGCTCACCTCCTCTTCAAGACTTCCAATAGTAATCAGCATGGATTTTTCATCCTCACAAGCTGTTATTGCTTTGTGCCACGGCTTCGTTCTGTCTTCAAATAAATATAAGACTTCCTTGTACGGCACCCATTGCTGACGAAGCTTTTTACTAATATCCTCTTTGAAAGAAGCCAGGAATTTGCAGTGAAAAGAGAAGGGAGGGAAATAGGGAAATAAGAGAAGCCAAACTGAAGGTATCTGTCTCTCTCTGTGTTTACACACACACACACACACACACACACACACACACACAGCATTACATACTCCTATTAAGTAAAGGTAAAGGACCCCTGACCGTTAGGTCCAGTCGTGACCGACTCTGGGGTTGCGGCGCTCATCTTGCTTTATTGGCCGAGGGAGCCGGCATACAGCTTCCAGGTCATGTGGCCAGCATGATTGACCCGCTTCTGGTGAACCAGAGCAGCGCACGGAAACGCCATTTACCTTCCCGCCGTAGCGGTACCTATTTATCTACTTGCACTTTGACGTGCTTTCGAACTGCTAGGTTGGCAGGAGCAGGGACTTAGCAACGGGAGCTCACCCTGTCGCGGGGAATTCGAACCGCTGATTGGCAAGTCCTAGGCTCTGTGGTTTAACCCACAGTGCCACCCATGTCCCATTCCTATTATAATCCATCATAATTCATTGAAACGACTGGAAACCCAACCCTCTAAAACGTTTGTCTGAATAATGAAAACATTTAGGCTCGTTTCATGGAGAAGTGTCTGTGAAGGGATTCCAACAGACTAGCACTGCCCTCTTGATCCAGCAGTTGAGCCACCGTGGTGCTGAGAAATGGAAGGTGGAATCAGATAACCATGATTCTCCAGCATCACCGTCTCAAAGAAACTTACCAATTTCATCTTCTATTTCAGTCACATTGATGATCAAGTCAACCAGTTTGTCTGCTAACTTCTGAGTTTCACGAAATATTTCAGCATCTAAAAGGTTTGAATAATTCAAGCCAGTGGGATCTCAAACATCCATCAATGTATATTAAAAGCCACTTTCCAAAAATCCAGTGAACGGTCACATTCTAGCATGAAAAGAAGAAGAAGAAGAAGCAGAACCCAAATATAGGACCCAGAAAGAACAGTCCTGATTTTCAGAGTCTGGCATCATCGAGGGGAAAGAACAGGCTTACCCCAAATCACGTCCTCATGTGAATAAAATAAAAGCCTAAGCTTGTAGGTTCCATTTCTTATGGGACCTGCAGGTTCACTCCCTTGTTTTTCTTGGGTTTCACAGCAAAACCATTCACAAGTGATTTCATACCAAAACAGAAAAGCATATAAAGAGTATGTGTTATGTTTGAGTCTGATTTATCAGATCTAAACTATATCTTTTCAGCAAACGAAAGGTTCTCTGTTCTGGCTGAATACTATGAATGAAGGGATAGTATTTCCAGGAAGCAAGTAGTAGATGATAAAAGGGTGTTTTATTTTTCTTCAACCTACTGCAGTGCAGCCACTTCCCTGCATTTCCCCCTTTCCTGCTGAGAATAAGTTCTTATGGGAGAACCAGCCTCATATAACCAACATGCTGAAGTATAATTAATGCATGAAGGGGTTAACACCATAGAATAAGCTGTCCTGCCAGGCTTAGCTAGGTCGCTTTCCCTCACCTTGGGATGAAGCTAATCAAGGCCTTTGTTCACTTTCAGTCTACCTAAGAAGCTCAGTATGTGAAGAGGTTTTGAGCCGGTTGCTGCAGGTCAGACCGCAGGGCTCTTACAAGTCATTCTTGTGTTCTTATACAAAGAATTTAGGAACTTCCACTACTGTAACTTAAGCCAAGTTTACTGCCTGTGTTTTCTAGCTGATGTATGGAAAAGCACATGAACCCAGAGGTGAAGCAATCTGCTCCGGTACCCGGAGCAGCGCTTGTCCCAGGGGGTGTGGCGCGTGTCCCAGGGGGCATGGTGTGCCACCCACGGAGGCGTGGCACGCATCCCGGGGGCACGGCACATGTACCAGGGGTGACCAGCGAGTCATGGGGGTTGGCGCTGATCGGGGGTCAGCATTTTGTCACCCCCTTTTGGAATGGCACCCAGGGCGATCCGCCGCCCCCCCACCTCGGAATGCTTCTGCATGAACCTGACCTTTGAGGAGTTTGTAAGTAAATCAATTTTTAACTTACCAAATGTTGGGTCTTTTTCTATGCTAGGAGAAAACATGAAGTTTGGAAGGGCATATTTTAAAAGCCTCAGAGCCTATCTTTCCATGCTTTACTCTGCTGCGTATTTTGTGGTTTTAAATCTCCGCTGGGGTTCTCTCACCCAAGTGTCGTTGCCCCAAACCTGGATCTTTGCATCCAGGGAATTCTCCTTTTTAAACCTATTTTTTCTTGTCACAAACAGTTTTGCTGTGAGGTGATATCCCTGGGTTGGGCAGGGGGAAGCGTGGTCTTGAATGCACAGACTGAAACCCATTGCTTACCATTCTTGCCTTTGAGAGAGGGTTCCCTTTTTATCATAAAATCCTTAATGTTCTTAAATGCTTGTACTACAGCAGATGACGCTCCTGATCCCTGAATATCTAGAAATGATTTAAGAATAAAAGAAATTGTATTCTAACACACTTGTCTGGGCATGGCTGAACCCCCACTCTGGAATTTCTGAGACTGGTTTTGAATCAAGGCTCCCCAGGCCTTAGCTATGGAACCTGCTTTCCTTGGAGGGAAGTCATATTTTCTAGCATGAAATCTATGCTTTTGTATACTGCATGAACTGCTTCCTGCAACCCTGCCTACTAAATCCATTGTGTCCTACCTAGAAGGTGGTTCTGCAAGCATCGTGGGCACATTGGGGAATGACATAATAACTGAGAAGGGATGTGATGTACCTGCATTTTTAGGAGATGCTACCAGCACAGGCAAAGCTACTTTATCCCCTCCATATATAGCGGTGTGTGTGTGTGTTTGTGTGTGTGTGTGTGTGTGTAATGGGATCTGACCTCGTACTAGATTCTTATTTCCCACACCCACTGTGGGCTAACTTTGACAGGTGGATGGGATCACTCACCTGTCTCTCACCTTACATCATTATGACATCAGGTGGCAACATCTAAAGGGCTTGTTCTTAGCACCAATCAACTGATTGGTGTTTAGAGCAAATATATTTGATTGTGTTTTGTTAACACCAATCAGCTGATAAGATATGGATTCCCATGGGGCATGAAAATAGACATTTTTCCTCTGTAGACTGGTAGAGGAAAGAGGTCTGATGGTGAGTTTATTAGTACTCACAATGCACCTTCTAAAGCATGGGTTGGCAAACTAAGGCCCGTGGCCCAGATTAGGCCCAATTGCCCTCTGGATCCGGCCCGTGGACGGTCCTGGAATCGCCGCTTGGATCAGCATGATCGTTTAGGCTGCGCCATTTTTTTTGCAAAAAAAATTGGGCCACATTCCACCCCCCACCGCGGTGGCACCCCCTTTCTCCCCCTTCCTCCTGGCTTCTCCCCACCCTGCGGAGGAAGTGAGCTGGGCTTTGACTGGTGCCAGCCAATCCGAAGGTTCACCGCCCGTGTGCTGAGGCGCGGCCCAGACTCGCCACCCACCCCCTGGCATCTCCGTCCATGGTCGTGCTGTGGGCATTGTGACAGGCGCGTCGCGGGGCTTCGGTTGGAGCTTGGTGCACCTGCTGGCCCCACCACTGGTGCCTGGGAAAGCTGGCCCGGAAAGGAGAGGTGACGCCATTGCCGCCGGCTCCCAACCCCAGGCAGAACAGTGGAGGAGGTAGGAAAGCAGGTGAGAGGAGGGGCTGGGGGAGGGGTGTGCATGCATGTGCACGCAGTCTGGCCCGTCACAAGGTCTGAGAGGCGGTGAACTAGCCTCCTCCTAAAAAAGCTTGCTGAGCTCTGTTCTAAAGGCTGTGTCTTCAAAGAGGCTCTGCTGATTTGCTCTGTCAGTGAGCCTTGCTCACGAAGGAAAAATTCACAGCACACTTTAAGCTCCCAGCATTGCTAGGTAGCCATGTCTTTACCTGCCCAACTGATTGATTGGATGAACATATTTATAGGGTGCTTTCCCACAAAGCCACTTCTGAGCTGGAGAGGAGGTGGGGTTGCGGGCTTCACGCCCTCCCCACGTGCACGGGGGCTGGCTCGCAGCCCCCGCAAGACTGAGGGAATCCTCGGCCGCGTCATCTCCCTTGCCAGCCAATCGGCTGGCCCGGGAGGCGTGGCCCACGCTATTTAGGGCCAGCGCGGCCAAGGATTTTCCTCTTTCTTCGCTCCAGCTGCTCCGGTTTCCCATCCCTCCCACCCTATAGGTTTGGCTCTCTGACATTGCTATGGACTTCAGTTGGTCACAGTCAAGGGGCCTGGTAGGAATTTTTTCCACTTGGCAAATTGGCACCAGCCATTTGGTTTTTCACCTACCTTGTAGCAAATCGTCACAACTTCCTCGGCATTGGCGGTTAGACATTGGTAGTTATTGTTATGCAAATGAGAGGGGTGGGAGGAAGCGCCATCACCTTCCCCCATATCGAAGGGTAGTCCGGTAAAGGATTCCGGGGGGTGTTGCCCTGTCCAAAGCCAATGGAGGTGTGGGGCTAAGGCATGCCCCCGAGCAGTGACCCCTGGGGGAGCTCCTAGTTGATGTGCATCAGCAGGACTCCCCCTACTGGTGGTTAACCCTTCCCGGTCTTCAAGCAATCAGGCTGAAGCCAGATAGTTGATAGGACCAATGCCTAAGCCAATACCACTCAATTACTGTAACCAATAAAGTTGTGGCCAATTTTCGCCCATTAACCTAAAATGCTGGTGTCATGTGTCTTTATTTCTGAGGGGGAGGCGGGAACTCGCCACGCAATGAGCTGTGCCCACAGCAGGTGCTGGGTAGGTCAGCATTATTTCGGGGAAATGGCTTAACTGAGGCACACTCTGTTTGAAAGTCTACGTCACACTGAAGTGAAACCAGCCCAGAGGATTTAATGGGTTTTCTTTGCTACTTACACAAAATAGTTGTCCCTAGTGCGGCAAAAAATAGGATCAGGCACAGCGTTACTGCAGTAAATATACCAATGGAAGATGGAAACAAGTCTCGTATATTATGCAAAAAAGCAGCTAGCTTCCCTTGAAGGACAAAAAGAAAGAAAACTCTGCGTTAACCATCATGAGCCAACATCCTACTATTATCCCAGTAAGGGGGGGGGGTTGGGATAGAGTTGTTTTTACAATACTGGCTTATACACACAGAGATATTTGCATATATACAGTAAACGTGTTTAAAAGCATAACCCACATTGAATAAATCTATAAATCATTAGCGGTGTTTTCAAAACACATAATAGGGCTGCCATAAGTCCAGAATTTCCTGAACATATTTGGGATTTCTCCGTGCAGCCCATATAAGAAATGTTATTTTTTGGGTGAATTTCCTAAAACTTTGGCAGAAATAAAAATAAAATGGCAGCCCTGACATATAAGATATTTATCCTAAAGATTTGTCAAGACCCATTGTTTTCTGGTTTCACCCCTCACAAGGTCCTCAGGATGAGCAAGCCATGGACAGTTTTCTGATTTTTTTCTCCCCTGTCAACTGCCAGGGCCAGTGAATGGTGGAATCTTTCTTGCCTGCCATTGAGATTCCCTGTTTAAATGGTTAGATATGCTGAATCTTGTGAAGCCTTTCCCACGAGTGTTAGCACAGTGTGGATCAGGAGAGATCACAGGCTGAAACTTGAGACTTCTCACCATCACTGTCATAGCCAGAAGCTGACGACTGACTCAAACCCTCAACCTCTGCTGTTTGTTGAGCTAAGTGGGCTGGCAAAGCATTGCAGGCTTTTCTCCAGCCCACCTCACCACGACTGGTCACAGATGCCTCCTGTTTCTGTTCCTCCTCTATGCTATGAACAACTTCTCTGTGTGCTGCATACATACCCCTTGCAGGGGCCTGTTTTCTTCTTCTTTTTAGTCTTGTTCTGGAAGCCACACTGGATCTGGATGACACATTCGATCTGGAAGCCACACTGGATCTGGATGACACATTCGATCTGGAAGCCACATTGGATCTGGATGACACATTCGATCTGGAAGCCGCATTGGATCTGGAAGCCACACTGGTTCTTGAAGCTGCATTGTGGGGTTGGGTCACATAATATGTAATTTATTAGAACATCAGCTAAAACTTGCTACAATGGCACAGAAAAGCCATTGTGTGCCAGCAGCTAAATCCCAGTAGGGTAAATTCTTGAAAAACTTGTAGCTCAGGAGCGATGGTCCTGCAGAAATTCAATTTTCAGCTCAGTTCTAGCAAGGGGGCCTTTAGAGACACAGTAAACTGCAGCCAGAAACCTAGAATAAATCCTATACTTGGAGTGAGGTTTAAAAAACCAAAACAACCTAGCCTAGCCCAGATTACAGACCTAATTAGTGGAAAAAGCAGCTCATGATGGAAAAAATGTAGGCTTCATTCTCTGCCCAGCCTCAATGCTGGCTTCAATTTCAGGTTCAAAAGTACTACATATAAGCTAGGAGTTACTAATTTCAGCATTCATTTCAGTTTAAAGCAAGCTCAACTCAAACTAGTTCAGGCAATGAAAATCCCCTCAGGTCCAAATTATAACCCCACCATGTTTACAGCAATAAATGAGACTGGTCATTTATTATTGTGACACAAGGGGTGGAATGAATGAATTGTGGTTCCCATATTTAGGAAGGTGACAAGACTGACCCAGCAAATTATAGACCAATTTTCCCATTGTTACCAGCGAGCAAACTGTATTCACGGTACCTATTGTCAAGAAAGAAGCATTGAATTAAAGGAAGCAAATATATTGCCCCAGGAGTAAATAGAATTTCAAGAAGGAAATTCAGTAGTTGATCATTCTTTTTTAATTACTCAGTTGATTCCCCAGTATGTCAGAGTAAAGAAATGCTCCTTGTATTCTGCATTTGTTTATTCGAAGACTGCTTTTGGTCTAGTTAATAGGGTGAATTTGTGGGATGAATTGTCTCAAGCAAGTATTAATGTCAGATTACGGTATTGTACCCAAAAAGATTCAAGTAGAACATTCTGGAGAATAGGGCAGCATAGCATATACAGTTAAATTATTAAATTATAGCAGCATTAGCGAAGGATGACAATTGGAAACTAAATTTGTGGAAAGATGGAATTTATTCGTTATGCATGGAAATAAACTACTGTATACAGTAATACCTTGGTTCTTGGACTTAATCCTTTCCGGAGGTCCATTCGACTCCCGAAACCATTCGAAAATCAAGGCACGGCTTCCGTTTGGCTGCAGGAGCTTCCTGCACTCAAGCACAAGCCATATTGGACGTTCAGTTTCCGAAAATTGTTCACAAACTGGAACATCCAGGTTTGCGGTGTTCGGGAGTCGATTTGTTTGGCAACTAAGGTATTACTGTATTCTGGAAAGTGGTTTGTCTGTCTGTTCATTTTTTAAACGTCCTCTTGAGACATCAGCTGCCCAGAATGGCTGGCTGGGGCAACTCAGTCAGATGGGCAGGGTACAAATAATTAAATTAACATAATCACAACCACCAAACTCAGCATGAGGGTTGCCGAGGTGGCGGCACATTTTGTTGATGTTTGGATGCCTGGCACCATCTTGAAATATTGTTGCCACACTTGGCACAAGAGTTCCTAAGGCGGGGGCAGTGGTCTTCATCACCATTTAGATACCAGGCACTATTCTGAATCAAGAGTGCAGACTGAAACATAACTTTGGCCTGACCTCCTCACCCAATTTTCCGCATGATGGAAATCTGTCTTTCTGAATTGCACTGAAGAGGAAATAACAGAAACAACTTACGTTCCGCGAATGTCAAGCCTCCCGCCATTTTATCTGCTCATTTGAGTTGGCACCTTATGTCATCCTGTGTTCAGAACCATATAATGAAGTTGACAGTTAGCACAATTTTCAGCAAATAATTTAGTAGTCAAAAACCGATCAAAATAGCAGGCTGCAGAAACTTACCTTCTTTTGTTGACAGGACCATCTTATCTCATTTTGAGTGGTTTTTCATCCTGGAGTCCTTCTATATAACCATGAAATGAAGTGGACAATTAAAATAATATCTCAAGGCCTACCTATTTCAGTTGTTAATTTAGAAGATCTCTTATCTGTCCTTTACCCACATGGTTCCAGGGCAGAACAACAGAATATATAAAATTATAAATTGCAGATAAAACTATTCAAATATAAAATAAATAAAACCATTCAGACCAAAACAGAACAAAAGAGGTGGGTCTCTCAAGACACATCAATTGTCAAAGGGCAGGTAATGAAGTGTGCCAGGAGAGGCTGGTGCAGCAACTGTCCTCTCATTCTGTCAATTCGATGGCCAACTGCAGATGCAAGTCAGATAGACCCAAGAGATGCTTCAGCAGCCAGAGGATAAAAACACAATGGGCAACTGCAAGCAGAGAGGGATCAAGGGTGAAGAAGAAGTAAGAACTAAAGAGCTAGGCTATTGGCAAGTCTTGCCACAGTGGATTAGGATACAGTTATGGGAGGAAAGAGAAGGGACGTGGGTGGCGCTGTGGGTTAAACCACAGAACCTAGGACTTGCCAATCAGAAGGTCGGTGGTTCGAATCCCCGTGACAGGGTGAGCTCCTGTTGCTTGGTCCCTGCTCCTGCCAACCTAGAAGTTTGAAAGCATGTCAAAGTGCAAGTAGATAAATAGGCACCGCTCCAACGGGAAGGTAAATGGCATTTCCGTGCGCTGCTCTGGTTCGCCAGAAGCGGCTGAGTCATGCTGGCTATATGACCCGGAAGCTGTACACCAGCTCCCTCGGCCAGTAAAGCGAGATGAGCGCCGCAACCCTAGAGTCGGTCACGACTGGAACCTAATGGTCAGGGGTCCCTTTACCTATGGGAGGAAAGGAAAAGGCAGAAATTCTGGGGCTGGCTGCTCAAATGATGAGTCAGGGAAGGAAAGCATTTGCAGAAGGATGAGAGAGGATGTTTCACATTAGATGATGCAGGGATTGATGGGGAAGCAAAATGGTTTAAATACACAGAAGGGCTCTGTGGAGAAGGGCTCCAGACTCAGCTAAGTGGAGACCTCACCAGGAATCAATTTGCAGTTGGGGTGGGTGGGTCAAAGCTACAGAATGAAGATGTTAGGTGTGTGGAGAGGGAATTGAGCAGAAGGGGTGGTGTCCGTGGCACCACCAGGAATCCAAGTGTGTCTTCAGGGCTTAAGAAGCTTGGTGACCTTTAACCTCGAAGGAAGCCAGAGAGTGGATAATAAGGGGAGGTTCACAGAGGGTGCTGGAATAAGTTGCTTCCTCTCGCTGTAGACCTTATCAAGCATAAATCAATCTACCTCTGCCTTTCTGAAGAAAGAAAAGGAGTGGCAGCAGCCCAAGGAGGACACTGAGAGGCCTTGCCACGTCCTCCACTTCTCCCTCTGTCTGCAGGTTGAACATTGTTGGCAGTGCTTCCCTATTCAGGAGGGCAATTCTTCTGTCTCCTTGCCCTGTAAAGCCAGGAACTTGGGCTTAAAAGCATCAAGCCAGATATAATTAAGCAGACTCTTTCCTTGCTTCTCCTGTGTGACTTATTTGGCCTGTGCTACTTACTGCAAGGGACGCGGGTGGCACTGTGGGTTAATCCACAGAGCCTAGGACTTGCCGATCAGAAGGTCGGTGGTTCGAATCCCCGCGACAGGGTGAGCTCCCATTGGTCAGTCCCTGCTCCTGCCCATCTAGCAGTTCGAAAGCACATCAAAGTGCAAGTAGATAAATAGGTACTGCTCCGGCGGGAAGGTAAACGGCATTTCCGTGCGCTGCTCTGGTTAGCCAGAAGCGGCTTAGTCATGCTGGCTACATGACTCAGAAGCTGTATGCCAGCTACCTTGGCCAATAAAGCGAGATGAGCACCACAACCCTAGAGTCGTATTTACTTACTGTAAATTAGCGCTTGTATCCAGCCAACTTTTACTCGGAGCAGATCCAGTGGAACTACTGATCACAAGAAACTTAAGCCCATTAACTTTAGTGGGACTACTCTCAGCAAATGTTAGTGGACTACAAGTTTTTTATACTGGGCATCTCTTTTAAAGTGGCATTGATAGAAAGCGGAGGGCAGCCTTGGCACAGAAGCTCTTGAACCTCGTCTGATACTTTCAATTCAAGAACAGCCATAAAGGATCCGGGCAAACATTAAGCGCCAATACATTTGAGTAATGTTCCCCACCCAGCAGTGCCCCGTCTGGATACCGTGGTGCCTCAGCCAGTTTTTCTTCTCTTTTCCTCTGTTTGTTCCTGCAGTTGTTCCTTCCTTCAGTAGCTCAACCACCTACCCCTTTGATGCAGAACATTCCAGAACTCTTCCCATTCAGGTTCTACTGTTGCCTGATTGGCTGACTGCCATGCCAAATCAGCATTCAACATAGTGCATAAGCCCAGGAAAACATTTCACAGCATTTTTTAATGGACTCATTCATTATGTAGATATAGATATACTGGATTTAGAGAGCAGTAGCTGTGTGAGGCAGACACAACAGTAAGGAGGACTGAATAGCACCTGGAGTCTCAGATATATCGCTTCCTGCACCAGGAAGAGCAGGGGTAATTGCCAAGCAATGGCATTTACAGTTAGTGAGAGGAGACTGTCAAGGAACTGTCAGGTGAGCACAGGTCATCCACAGGGCAGGAAAGAACACGAGGCAAGAAATGCAATCAGCTTTTATTCACAGAAAGTAACATCATAGCAGAGTTCTTCTGGCTCGTCTTAATCCAGCTGGAGATGTTGCTGAAACTGACCACTGACCCCGCTGTGATGGCCTGGGACTCGGACAGACTTGGAACCAGAGGAGCCCCAGTCTGCACTGGATCCTTTGCCTCAGGCATCATCTGAACCAAGTCTAGGGCCTGATTCTGAAGAGTCCCAGTCTGCACAGGTTCCCCTGCAACAAACACCAGCTGGCCCGAGTCAGGGGCCTGAGCCTGCCCTGGCTCCAGATGCAGGGATGACCTCCTTGCCTTCAGCTGGGCCATCACTTACAGCTGCTCCACTACTGGTTGGGTCAGGGGAGGCTGAGGCGGCCCCTGGGTCTAGGAACCCACCGACGTCTCCCGAGCTGCAGAGACTAAGGTCTGAGGGAAGGAGAGACCTGAGTTCTCGCAGGAGGAGTGCTCGCCTTTGGGCGAAACAGGGAGGTGAGTCCTTGGGGGATCAAGACTGGCCTCTACCCCGACAAAGATAAAAAGCTGTCGGACCCTGCCCCAGGTTGCGGGAGCAACATTACTGTATGCTAGATCCTGCCTGAGATCCTGCACCTGTCCTTGCCTGGTTTCCTGCCTTGTGTCCTGCCTTGGCCCTGTTGGACTGACTCCCAGCAGAACCTTTGTATTCTGGTCCGGTCCTGGACCGCATTTCACGGGTTACCCTGAGGCACAGCACACCCGCCTTTTCACTCTAGCCTCTCACTCTGGATCCCCCCCCCCAAGCAGACAAAGACTGTGTCGAGGGGGTGGTCTCCTTCTCTGGGCCTATCTGGCCCATTGCTCAGCAGTGTGCAGACTCTCCTTGAGGTCAGAAAGAGAGGAGAACCAGTAGGACTGGGACTATCCTGCTGCTGGGTAGCAAAGGCAACCTCCGATTCCTTTCTGTCTGAATCAGTGCTCACACTGCGACTCTCAGCCTCTAGCCCTGTCCTGGAAGGGCCTCCTTCTCCTGACAACCCCCACCCCCAAAAAATCACTCAACCCCTCTGCTTCTAGCACCTCCCAGCGCCTTCCTTCCCCAGACTGCTCCTCAGTGTTCCACCACCACGATCTGGGGTCGAAATCTTCTTCTCCTTGGGCAGTCCCTGACAGGCTGCCTTGAGGAAAGGATAATCTTCAGCATTATTCGGCTTCCAGCAGTGGTGGGTAAGAAATGTCAACAGGCAAGTTGATCCCAAAGTGGTCACCCACTGGACCAGTGTCAAGGATCAGACAACTGTTGAGAGCTCCCTCACCCAGTGGAGGCAGGCACTGGGTGCTCCTTATCTTCACTGTTGAAACCTGCATGCTTGTTCACCTGCCTCTCACTCTGGCTCAGACAACAGAGCTGTTGAGAAGGAAGAGCAATAATTGCCACTGCCAGCTCGCTCTTTGGATCTCTGCATGGCAAGCAAGCGGGTGGTAGCAATGAGGAAGAATAAGAGCAGTGGTTGGTGCTAATGGGAGTCGGGAGGTAGACTCAATGTGGGAGGGAGCAGAGGGTTCATGGAAAGTGCCTGGCTCAGGACTCCATGGCGCTGATAGCGGTCACCCCTTTGGGGCTTAAGAGCATAGGAAGAGCCCTGCTGGATGAGACCAAAGGCCCATCTGGTCCAGCATCCTGTGCCCAAAATGGCTAACCAGATGCTTATTAGCAGCCCAGAAGCAGACTCGGAATGTGACACCGCTCTCTCCACTTGTGATTCCCAGCAATGACTGTTCAGAGGTATACTGCCTTCAGAATACCAAAGACATGGCTACTATTCTGCCTGGCTGCTCTGTCATAAGGGAAAATAGAAGTCAAATGCAAGACATTTTCTGAACTCTTCCTGGCAACGTGGAAGGGAGGCAAAAAATGCCTGTAATGATCACCCAACCCAGAAAACGACCAATGTAAACAGCCAATTGTCTTATGTCAGAGGTGGGAAAACCTTTTGGCCCCAAAGAACAGGTCCTTATCAGGCTCAGCCTTGTGGGCCAAATTTGTGGGCAGGACCACCCACCTGTCAATCACATGCCATTATGAGACAACCATTCTCTTTGCTAAGATAATGGCACTGGCCATGTTAATGGGTTGGCCATGTTGCCATGGGAACAACTAGCTAATGGTGCTCCCCAAAGGAGGTGTAGTTTCCCCATCTCATTACTTGTCTGGAGACCACATCCTCTTGTAGGGAGGAGAACGGGAGAAAATTTAGCTTTTGTTTAGTCAGGGAGAAAGCTGGAAAAAGAGACAGAGAAGCTTGACTTTGGTCTATGCTTTGGAGATCCCCTTGGAAACCT